AACGGTGTAAAAACAACCAATCCTTTCAGGGATGATTATTAAATTTTTTTTCCCAAAATCGTCCAATGTTTCGGAAAACATTACATAGCGTTGGTTATCTTTCACTCCCATAATGGTTTCCACCAATAAACCGTAACTTTCACGCTTTATTTTTTCATTTCTTCGAGACACGTTATTGTATTCTTCGTAGAAATCAGCAAATTGTTGGATCAATTCATTGGAGGTGTTTTTCATCCAATTCCTCATCCAGTCATGAGGTTCAAACCATTTTATTTCATTGTCAATAACGTCCTGTAATGAATCAATTTTTCTCATAAAACGAGGAAAACGTAACAATAAAGTTAAACCAGCCGAGTAATATGTCGAAAATAATAAACAAAAAATCAAAACACTTGTAAGAAGAAGTCTGATTGAGATATTTGTATTCGAACGGGGAATATTCTCAATAGAGCCTAGAGAAAATATTCTTATAAAATAGAACACGACAGTTTCAAAATTCTTTGAAGACATGAGACATGTAACAAAAGAATAGATAAATAAAGTTAGAAAATACAAACCCCACAACTTGGCTTGTAGACAATGAAAAATGAAGCTATAATTAGGCATTAATTGTGGTCTTGGTACCAAAACCTGTCTACAAATTGCTGAATATTCAACGGTTTTTGCAACTTTGTATTTATAAACTGTTAGTGCCCATTGGGAGCACATTCCCATATCTTTTTTATTTTCCCTAACTAGACCCAAAACCACGTCGTATAAAAATTCCCCAGAAAAATTTGGCTTTAAAAAATTGTAACTAACGGGAAATCCTTTTAACATTTCATCCAACATTTTTGCCTCCACGCCATCAAAACTATTTGTTGGTTTATTAAACTGCACAAAGGGTAAACAGTCAAATAAAACAACGGAAAAAGTTTGATTGAAGCCAATTAAAGTGTTTGCAGGGGACCACTTTGGCATTTTTATGTCCATTTTGAGTGCATTCAAATCCACGGTCTTCATCTCGTGCAAAAGCTTTGCTTCTAGTATCGGAAAAGTGGAATAAAGCTTTCGTTTTTGTTCCACAATACAATTTTTCTCTTCAATTATAATCAAATGTAAATGTTGTAATTCAGTGGCTTCGTAAATTTCTCTAATTTTCAATTTTTTCGAACATTTGGTGATTAACAAAATGCGTGTGTGGGGTTGAAAATGTAGGTTTATATCAATTATCAGGAGTTTATTAATTTCCTCATCGTTGTTTGAAAAAATAACATATCCTTTACAGGAGAAAAGTGACTGATCAATTTCGTTTAAATAATTTAATTGTAATGTAACCATTTGGAGACTTYTTGTGTAGTCTGGAATGTGGAAATTACCACCATTTATCACATATATACATTGATTTTCTTTAAAACTCCATTTAATTAGATTATAAATCCAAAATGTATTATTAGGAAATGTAACATTACTGATTACTGTGTCGATCTGTATATGCAAAAATATCAAGAGTAGAAAATACATACTCTGATATTTTTGTTCAAGACTTATTTGTTTGAAAACAACCTAATTGTGACAATACATAAATGACTTGTTGTTGTGGATAAAATCTCAAAATTATCACACAAAAAGTGTACATCCATCAAGTACAATTGTCACTAAAACTCTTGTATTTATCTACTCTACTTATGTAAATATTAGAGCTTTCAGAAGTTGAAAATTGTTTTTTTAATTTTACCTTCTGAATATTTTAAGGGTATTTTATTGGTAAGTGTAACTGTAGTGGAAGATGGGCCACAACAAATTCAACAATAAACAAATTAATTTAATTTTTTTTGTAAATATTACAAATTATGTGTTTGAACTCAAAAAAATTCTGTTAAAAATACGATGGTTGAGAAAACTAGTCCTAGTAGCAGAAAATAAAAAACACCTTGCAATTTCTCCATACTAATTAGATAATTTATGTCATCTGAGTATTTCTGAAAAAAATCGTCATGTAGCGATTTTCAGGTTTTCTACTGAAATTCAGCAACCAGTGATTTGTAAAACTAAATTCGATAAAATTAGGTATATCTTTGTTGAATTTATTCACATGTGGGGAATTTTGCTTTAATGGAATAACTTTGTAAAGACAACCAACGCTTTCAGGGATAATTTTCAAACGTTTCACTGGTTTTAAATCACTGGTTTCAAATCATTTTATTTCATTATCAATAACGTCCTGTAACGAATCAATTTTTCTCATAAATCGAGAAAACCGCACATATTAACATTGACTTTCTTTAAAACTCCATTTAATCAGATGAAAAAAAAACCAAAATGTATTATCAGTAAATGA